GTCATCTGGTTGTCGGGGTTTTCTCTGTATTATTTTAGTGTCTTTATCTTACCAATTAAAGCACCTTGAGGTGACTGTTGAGTAAATTTGGTGCTATATGAACAAAATTGATTTGAATGTGTTTGGAAAGACTAAGTCATGAGAACAGGATACAAGGAGAACTAGATGTAAGTAGGACAAAGGATGTATAAAAGTGAGGAAAGAGAAAATGACCTGATTTCCTTCCAGTGTGCTTGGTCAGAGCCTGATAATTAACACCAGTATAAATGGTAGAGAAATATCGAAATCGAGAAATAATCAACTAACTTTGCGACATAATTGTGAGGTTGATATTTTTGTGCTGTCATCTTAGATTAGGGAGTCAGACTTCACAGGTTTTGTGGTTGTTTAATAAAGCCCGCTGTCACATTTATCTGCTTTGGTCTTTAGAAATGTAGCATTGTTAATTTAATGTATATGTTTAAGCTTTCAGGGGGGGGTCACAGGAGACTCACTCACCTGTCACAGCAGCAGAAGAAGGAGCAAGGTGAAGTCTCCAAACCTCTGAACTTCCCAGAATTCGGTGCATCTGTGCACTCTGCTATGAAGGCGTGCAGATCTGTTATGTGGATTGGTTCTTGGGTTTGATGCTGTGGAAATCAAAAAAAAAAAAAAAAAAAGACACTACTGTTACTTTTCTGCTCTTTATTTGTAGTCCACAGTAAATACAGAAGCAACAGTTTGGATGCTACGGTGAGTTCTTTGTAATGCAGACTGAGTGATTCTACACATTGTAAATAAACTGATCCTTTTTGTAGGCAGCAATTTCCTACCTTGATGGTCTCGTACGCTCCTGTGATGAGAGCGATGAACAGAGACAGCACCATGTAGATGAAGAGGGAGATGAAGGTGTACAGGTAAACCTGGCTAAACAGCCACACTAGAGGACTGGTCTCCTGCATCTCTGCGAACGTCACGAACATGTCGTCGCCGTTAATGAGGGAGAACAGACACTCGGACACCATGGACAGAGAGCGGAACTGTAAATATATATTAAAAAAAGGGTATTTTAATTATCAAAGTTAAGAGAAAAGGTCAAGTTTTTGAAAGCAGTTTAAAAGTCAGAATAAACTGTAGTTCATGTTTCTGTTCCACTGATTTACTCAGTGGACGGAGAAATGTCCGAAAGAAAGAAGGAAGTCCGAAACTGTTTAATTATCTTCTCTGTTACACAACTTGGATATTATTGCTGAATGGCATTTGTGTGGCCTACTAAAAAATTTTTTTTTAAATAGGCACGTTTTGTGTGTTCACATTTACTCATATACACCGATCAGGCATAACGTCATGACCCCCTGCCTAAGATTGTGCTGTTCTCCTTTTTGCTACCAAAACAGCCCTGACCTGGTAAGACAACACCAGACCCCAGCACATCTGCGCTGGTATCTGGCACCAACATGTTAGCAGCAGATCCTTTAAGTTTTGAGGCGGAGCTTCCATGGATCAGACTTGTTTTTCCAGCAAATCCCACAGATGCGGGACTGGGTTGAGATAGGGGGAATTTGGAGGCCAAGCCAGCACCTCAAACTCATTCCTGAACCCTGTTTGCTTTGTGGCACCACCCAAGGTTTCCCAGCAGAACATTGCCCAAACATCACACTGCCTCCGTCAGCCTTGACTTATTCTCATAGTGAGAATAAGGCAAAGGCAAACACCTGGCACATTTAAATCATGGTGCCAGGTGTTCCCCAGGTAAGTGACGCACACACACCCGGCCATCAACTAGATGTGAAAAAAAAGATGTCATTCACGAGACCAAGACACCTTCTTTCATTACTTCATTAAAGTTTGCCATTTTTCCTGCTTCTACTGCATCAACATTCACTTGGTCCCCAGTATATCCCACCCACTATCAGTTATTCACTTCACCTGTGAGTGGTCATAATGTTATGCCTGGTCGGTGCAAGTGAACTAAAACTTCGAAAGGAAAACTTAAAACTCCAAGGAGTGGAAACAAGTTTTTGACATTGAGTTTTTCCCCACATTTAATTCACCTTGACATGGTATGGTCCCAGGACGATCCAGCCACAGAAGCAGTAGCCCAGATAGATGACAGCCACACAGCAGCAGAACCGAATAACATTGGGGAAAGCTGCTCGAAGTGTCACGATAAGGATCTGCAGCAGGGAGGTGCAGAAACACAACACAGATCAAATTACAGTGTGAGAGAGCCCAGAGACACTAAATTAAATGGCCTTCTACATTACATCAACCCACAGGAGGAACTTCTCACTTTCTCACAAGTTATTAAATCAGCAGCATGTAACAATGTTATCAGAAGCTGTGCACCAGCACATCTGCAACTTACATTGTACTTCTGGAAGAATGTGAGGTAGCGAATGACTCCCACCCACACTAAGAGAGTGGAGGTTCCCAAAAGGATGGCACAGAGGTCATAGGAGGATATATTCTGTTGGGAAAAACCCAAAGGAATCGGCTTTTAAAAAAAGCTAAGACTACATGTACATGTTAATGTGTGTCAATGCTAAAACAAAACCCCCCAAAACTAAAGCTGATATTAGACCTTTGTCTCGATGCCGATTTTGATGAAACTGCCAGTGATTGTGAAGATGTCACTGATGATGAGGAGGATATACCAGCCGTTAATAAACTCTAGCCGGTCTCCCCAGCACACTTTACGATCTAGCGTCGTCTTAAAGAACTCCACAAACTCCTGCAGAGCAAAGAGAAAGAGAGATTAGCCATGTTTACACACATCAGTAGAATACAATATCGTCACTGACTTTTAGAATCGATTTGATTCCGATTCGCAAGGTCCCGAATCGATTCGAGCCACGATTTCGATTCGATTTAAATCGGGAAATTTTGCCTCAAACAGTCAGAAATATTATAATTCTGATCATTTATCAGTACTGACACTTCATCAGAGGTGTGAGCATCACAGCAGATGCGTTTGTGTCAAAGTAAGTGAGGAAAAAACACAGAAGAACATGAAGGAGATTTTCTTGGCCTGACTTTTTATAGCAGACAACTTTGAAAATATTCTGCAGTAGAACAAAAACGGAAGAAAACCATGACTCAGTATATGAACCTGATGCTGCTGAAGTGAAGCAGAGCAAAGTTACACAGGTTTTGAACAGCAGAAATGAGGCTTTCTTGTCGGAAGTCATAAAAAAACCCAAACCAAACAAAAAAAAACCTAAACAGTGGCCGACAGTGTTGTACACAACTGTAGACTGTTGGGTAATAAGGAAGTGAAAAATGCAGAAAATTGAGCTTTTTAGATGGGAAACTGCTCTCAAATTAAACAGAGAGGGAGAGAGAGAGAGCTCTGTACGAATCGGAATCGTACGTGGCGCCGGGTGAGAAAGCCAACATCTCACGGATTCTGATGCGTCGGGTCCACGCTTTGTGTTCACATCTTTTTACGGAATCTGTTTACCTGCTCTCGTTTGCTATTTTAGCTGTTTGGTGGTTGTTGAAATAGTTTTGTGAGGTTTAACCTGAGATTCTGGCGTTTCTGGCAAAATATATTAATATTTAAAAATCGATTCAGGATTTTAATGAATCGATATGGTTTGTTAAAGCTAAAATCTATTTTAATCGATAAATCAATTACTGAAACTCATCCCTAATACAATATGGATCCCCAGTCAGGCTACTATAAGCTTTCACAAAATTATTCAAGAAAAACATTTAAAGGTTAGAATGAGAACCTACTAGAGATGGCACGATACCACTTTTTCATGTCCAATACCGATATCATAAATTTGGATATCTGCCGATACCAATATGAATCCGATATAGTGTGTTTTTTAATCAATAAACCCGTTTTTTTATATCTTGCTGCTTTTTGTATAAGTTCATACTCAAGTAAAAAAACAAACAAAAAAAA